CCGGACGAGGTTGTGCCAGACGACTGGGCGATCTCGTTCTGCATGTATCACCGCGGTGTCGTGCCCACGGACACACGCGATAGTTTGCACCGCGAGCGCTTCCACCAGTACTCGCCCGAGCAGGTCTACTACTGGCCCGACGACGTCAATGACTTTGACCACTGGAACTACGCGTCGATCTACGACGCGCAAAACTGGTTCTCGGACCACATCGGCATTGGCTGGAGAAACGGGTCCGACTGCTGCGCACCCGACTCGGTCTCTTTCCACTACGTCCACGACATGCACCTCGTAGACGCCTACTTTGAGCTACGAAAAAATGCTCCAAAATAAAAGCTCTGCGGGCGCTTCCTCATAATTCAAGTTGTCTGTTGGGCAGTGACCTCATCTACGCAGCGATCCCAAGCGAAGTGCTTGTCTACACCCTTTGCGCAACGACGCTGCACGCGGATGTTCTGCTGATCGACGACGCCTTCGTCCGCATCGGGGCCACTGACTGGGCGTTCCGTCGCAAGACACGCGGCCTGCTCAAGGGTGCGCCTTGTCGACGCCGCGACAACCAACGCTGACGATGGCGTGCGCGGCACCCGCTTGGCGGCACTCACGGACGGCGTGATGACGTTCAACAAGTCGCTCTTGGACATCACCGACGCGCTCCAGACGTACGCTGCGACCCACATCTTTGGCGTGATTGCGCCGGGGCCACCTGTGTACTACAAGTACACTACTTTGCGCGCTGCAACAATGCGGCGCAAGCGGCGTGTGACGGCTTCGCATACGTAGCGATGACGCGCTTGTGTCGATGGCGTGCCCTCGACCGATGGCCCGAGCTCGCTCGCCTACACCGACGATCCCGACGCTTCTGTCAAAGCGCAAATGGATGACGCTGCACGACTTCGCACTTCAATCCATGTCTGGGGCAGTGTGTTTGAGGCAGCTCTGGTGCTTCTGAGCATCCTCGCCAATGGCTGTCGTCGCTGGCTGCGACTCGACTCGACCGTCGACGCTTCACGAATGAAGCGTCAAGAACACGTACAAGTCCTTTCCTGAACGGTAAGAACATGGTATTTGCAGCGTTAACAGCGGTGCGTATGCATCAAGACGATGGTTCGCGTGCGCACCCAAATTACCGGACGCGGGAGATGGTGACGGGGTTGTCCGAGTAAACGACAAGGTCAAAGTCGGCCTGGATCGGCTCAAAGGTCGACGGGATGGCCACGTACGTGCCCGGCGACAGCGTGAGCAGCGGCGTCCGCGCGCCGGACGCACTGTTGGTGTAGCAGCCATTGCCCGACGTTCCGATTGCCGTCGTGGGGTTGGCACTCGGGTCCAGCTGCCCGTTGGGACCGCACATGTACAGTGCCAAATTGATGGACGGCACGGGTGATCGCGTCGGCCGTAGCCGAAGAAAAAGCCGCGTCACCGCTCTACGCAGCAGCGTCAGCAACGCATACGTTTAGATGCCACGTACGAGAGCTGGATAAAGTACTGCGGGTTCAAGAGGTACCGGCCAAAGTTGGAGCACCCGACGGCCGTGCCCGCCGCCATGTTCCACTTGCCGACGACGAGAGTTTCGACCAAGCCATGGCCTTCGGGTGGCAGTGTGTACACGTGGAATTGCGGCGATGACGCGGCGATCGTCAGCACAAAGGCGCCGATGCAGTGGGGCTCGAACGTCGACGGCACGAGGGTGTACTCGCCCGGCGACAAGTCCTTGACTTCAATGTAGCAAAAGCCCGGGCGGTACTCCCCCGACTGCGCGTGCAGTGTCTTCTTGGAGACGGCGCCGACGCGCTGGCCGTCACGGACCAAGCGGAGGTTGATTGGATACTGCACGGGCGCCTCAAGTGTGATGACGACGTCCGTCAGCGTGTCCGTGACGACCACTTGGTACTGCGGGTTGTGCAGGAACGAGCCGTACCTACGCCATTCCGATCAGTCTCGGTGACCAACGCACACTGTCGTCGTACTTGGGGCAGCCGCCGGCAGTCGTGCCCGTCCACTGGTCGCGCAGCGTGTGTTTGTGCAGAGGTGGCGCCGGCGCAGCCGTAAACTCGAACGGTTCGTCCGTCGAGAAGACGGAGATCGTGTAGT